TGATTAGCTAGGATATATATATATATATATATATATATATAATCTAACACAAACTTCGTTTTAGTGTGGTATATAAGATAGGTTCAATGACCTACTTTTTCTCCTCAAACGAAAACATATTAGGTTTAAAGTGGAGGAGGGAGAGAGCGGGTCAACGACAAACTTGATTTCCACCTCAAACATAACTATCAAACGGTCCTGTATCAAAGTCAATTACACAGACACGAACAAGCTAATAAAGAGGTTATGGGCTGTGGTGATGCCAGAGATGTGAACAAACAAGGTTCTCATCTACCCATGATAAAACTAATTTCATTTTCTCAGAGATTTTGTACTGTACTTCCCAAAAGTGACACTAAGCCAAAAACAACCTTCCAGATGAAGTCATCTATGGTTTGGAAGAGACAATATTGCATAAACGGCTTGGCGAGCCACGCTCAGAAGAAAGCAATAAATGAGAGATAGGTTGACAAACACTACACTACAGCCAACTGTCCACTTAGCAAACACGTTCATATGAATTAAAAATGGACTACATATTGAATCACAACTATCACGGTTAAAAAGAAAGAATTAAAAAGAAGCATAAATATTCAAAGCTTAGTAAGACTCACTTGGGTTCCACTTCACTAGCAGTGAACTTGAGTGTGTTCTGATAGAGGTTTAATGCTGCTCTATTGCTCACTCGTACATGGAGGGAAACATAGCGAGCATTGAAAGTTTCAACCATAGCGCGAGCTGTTTGATCCATTAACTTCTGTGCAAGGCCTGATCATGTCGTAGTTTCAACAAATTTTACACTGTTTTTAGGGTACATAACATGATGAAAGTGGTTCTCATTTGATAAACTCGTGAGATAACTTTTGGATGATGAATCTTCTAAAAATCAGCGAAAGCAATACATCAAAAATGTAACAGACCAAGTCTCCTATAAGATCGTTTTACAGCCAGCGATGTGATATGTCCATGCGGTTCCTCGTCGGGATCTTCCTCCATTTTCGCTAGTACATACCCCACAACATTGCCCTGAATTCAG